AATTGGACTAGACAGGCGGGCCAGCCAGCCCCGGGGATCCTCTCGTCTCCACTTCCTAGTGCTGAGATTATAAGCGTGAGTCACACCTGCTCTTCACATGTGTGGGTGCTGGGTACTGAATCGAGGTCTGCATGCCTCTGTAGCAAGCACTTTATCAACTCAGCCACCACCCCGGCCCAAGTTGCTAGACTTCTATAGTTTTTGTGTGAACAATCCTTTTTGCCACAACCAGAGGATGGCAGTTTCTACCACTCTGCTCTGTAATTGCTGCTGAGTAAATTAGCTTTGCAAGTGGTGTTTAGAGTGTATTGTATTTCCAGAAATATGTTTTCCTTTAAGTTGGGAGAAGCATCTCTTTACTGTGATACCTCTGTTCCGTTGTAATATACATTGTATTCGTTACATTAGTAAATGGACCTGTGCTGTGTGAGCTCACTGAGAATCTGTTCTGGGAGCCAGGTTTGCCCATACACTCACTCACATATACCCAAGCACGTTTACTTGACACTGTCCTCCAAAGCACCTTTTCCACCAGCTCTGTGACAGAGAGGACCGCAAACATTATGTCCTTGAAACGCTAGAAGGTAAATTATTTCTAGTAGCTGTTGCTGTTGTTTATCCCACGAAAGTGCCTGCAGTGGGAAAGAGAAGCCTGAGGCGCAGCCGCGGAGGGAAAGCTCACCAGCTGACTACGACTTCCGCGGTCAGTTTCTGCCCAGTGTTCTGAGCACCTGATTCTGATGATGATCTGTCTGCTGTGTGTTCTTTTACTGAGAAGTCTCACTGAGGAGACATTCTGCTCTGCCCAGGACTCCCAAGGCCGCCTTCCTCAGGATGTTTCTGTTTGTGAGCTCCCAGTTTGATGATGTTACTTTTCTGCTTTGCTCAGGCGTCTCTTTTGGGATATCTCTCTCTCTCTCTCTCTCTCTCTCTCTCTCTCTCTCTCTCTCTCTCTCTCTCTCTCGCTCTCTCTCTCTCTCTCTCTCTCTCTCTCTCTCTCTCTCTCAGGGTCTAGCTCCAACTGTGGCTAAAATATTTGCCCATCATAACTATAGAAACAAAATGGTCTTCTGTTTTAGGAATATTTTCCCCTGCATTTGAAGGCTATCCGTGCATCTACCTCCATTATTCAGCATGGAATTATCCAGGCCTGTGGTCACTGATGCTAATTAGGCATGCTACCTTACGATACTTACTGTGTAAGTATCAATTAAACAAAACCAAAATCATCACTTTCATATGTACACCGTCAAAATGTGCTTCTCACATCTACACAGGGCCACCCTGTCTACACAGAACCACCCCGTGTAGATTTAGTGTAGAAATAATTTAACTTTCAGCGGTTTTCAAGGACATAACCTTTTCACTCATGGGCTGTTTACTGTACTCTCCTCTCTGTCATAATGCTCCTCTGTCATAATGCTCGGGAAAGGGTACAGCCCATCTCAGACAAGAAGCTTTGGAGGACAGTTTGAGACAAACGTGCTTGGGTCTGAAAAGGCAGCGGTGGTTGTTATGTGCAACCCTGGCTCCCAGAACAGATTCTCAGTGAGCTCACAAGGCACGCAACAATCTACTAAAATGACACTTTTAACAAAAACCATTGTTCCCCATGGGCCAAATTCTTTTTTCAAACAATTAGGCAGATGCTAATATTTTCACATCCATCCATCCATGGCTACCCAAATCATCAGCTGGACATGTATGTACCCACCCATCTATCCATATATCTGCCTATCCATCCACTGCTGGTCATCAGCCTACACTGGAAGTCAAGAAACTGTGTCTTGATATTACTGAAGGCTGGTGGCAGTGGCAGCCACAATGGTCCACTTGCTCAGGGAAAGGTGAGAACAGGCAGACAACACTGTTTTCCCCTGGGATCTCTTTATGTCTGGGCTACTTGTTGGAAAGTGCCACTCACTATGAGGGTAAGGCTCTCTGCCTCAGTTAATCCTTACTAGAGACACCCTCCCACACATGTCCAGAATTATGTGCACATCATGTGGATGTGTACCCAAGTCGGCATGTGTGCATGGAGGCCAGAGGGTGATGTCAGATTTCTTCCTCAATGTCCACCTTATTTTTTCAGACAGTATCTCTCACTGAGCTTAGAGCTCATGAGTTTGGCTGGATTGGCTGGCCAGCAAGCCCCAGGGATCTCTTGGTTTCCATCCTCCAAACCCCAGCACTGGGATTATGGGAGCACGCTGCCACACCTAGTTTTTTTCATCTGAGTGCTAGGATCCAAAGTCAGGTCCTCATGCTTGTACTGAGCCATCTCCACAGCCTCAGGTACCTGCTTTCTGTTCTTTTCTATTTCCACAAAGACTCCCCTTTCTTGACATTGAACACGTTTTTTTCTCTTTTGAAGAGAAGTGATTTTCTTCCTGTATATTTCTGACCATGACATCAATGAGGATGTATACTGGAAGGTAGACCCATCCATCCGCATCCGCAGTGGTTTAGTAAGTGGCGTGTCAATGCGGAGATTTGAAAATGATTTAAGAAGTTACTGATTGGGATGAGTGATGGGGGAAATTTAAGTAGAGTGGAAAGATCATTACTTTTGTTCATAGAATTTTAAAATCTGGGTGTCAGTGAGATATCATGGTAGAGATGTCTAAGGCAAGGGGTCTGAAAGGGGAGGTTTGGGTTCTGTATAGACCATAGGAACCATAAGGCAATGACACTCAGTGGGTCTGTTGACATGGAGCTGAAAGGAGAGATCTTGATTACATATAGAATACTGAAACCATGGGGCTATGACGGACAGTAGAATTATGGTCACGGAGGGCAAAATCCAGGGAAAGGCTGTTTATTTCTTAGAATAGATGTAAATGAAAACCAGAATATTTTTTTGTTCAAAGATAGTTTAAGTAATGTTTCCTTTCTAAATGTGCATTTACAATAAAACCATTACGCTGTAACGGTTGCTATTTGATGAAAACACAGATATGGCCTACTTGACTTATAATAGCAAATTGTTTTAGAAATCACTTGATATGGGATTAGAAGGAATTATGTCCTGTGCAAACCTCCATCTCATCAAGATGCTATAATTTCTCACTGCTCTGCTTCAGCCCCTGGGCTTTATGGAAAATGTGTTTTTACACCTCTTTGGATACACTTCAAGAGCAAACCAGAGCTTGTTACTGCTGTGACAGGAGGTTTGAAAGGATGAGCTGTAAGGTCCCCCAAGAGTGTATAAAAACGTAAGTGGTGCTCAGTGTGGGCTTAGTCCTCTGTAGCTTGAAGGGCCAATGTTTCAAAGCTACAGAAAGACTCAGTGTTACACTAGTAAATTGTTGCGATTCTTTACGAGAAAAAACAATTACAGGTATGCAACAGAATAAGTTGTTATTAGGCAGAGTCTCAGCATTTTAACTCGGGCTGGCCTGGAATTTGCTACATAGACCAGGCTCCAATTCCCAGAGCTCCATCTGCCTCTTACCTCCCGACTGCTGGGATTAAACACATCCACCATCAAGCTTGCTGTAGTTATTTTAAAAGTCATTATTTATTTACTTTACTTTTGAGAGAAGGTCTCTAGCCCAGCTAGCCTGGAATTTACTATGTAGTCAAGGATAACCTTGAACTTCTGACTCTCCTGCCTCAACCTCCCAAGTTATGAGAGGAGAGGCTTATGACACCAGGCCTGGTTTATGCGGAGCTGGGAATCTAAGGGCTTTATGTATATTAGGCAGGCCCTCTACCAGCTGAACTACACTCCCAGCCCTTAAGTAAGATATTTAATAGCTTAAAGCCCTTAGATATCTCCAGATCTTCCTAATCTTTTCCATGCCATTGCATTAAAAAAAATAAAGAAAAAAAAAAAGAAAGAAGAAAAAAAGCTAGGTGGTGGTGGCACACATCTTTAATCCCAGCACTCTGGAGGCAAAGGCAGGTGGATCTCTGTGAGTTCGAGGCCAGCCTGGTCTACAAAGTGAGTTCCAGGACAGCCAGGACTGTTACACAGAGAAACTCAGTCTCAAAAAAAACCCCCAAACAACAAAAAAAACCAAAACCAAAAAAACTAGTGTTTGTAGGACACAAACTGTACACTGTATCAATCCATCTCAAGGTGTCCTTGTCACACAATCTCAGAAGTGACCAACTGTCCACATGATCTGCCAAGTGGGAAACCTGAGTATTAAGGGCGCTGACATTTGCTGCTCAAATGTTAATATAAGAATATTTTTGCTTTGTTATTATTATTACGGCTGGTTTGTTGGGGGGAGGGGGGCAGGGTCTCATGTATCCCTGGGTAGTCTTGAACTCTCTGTGTAGCAGTGGATGAGTTTGAACAGCTGCCTTCACCTCCCAAGTGATGGGATTACAGGCCTGCACCAGCCTGTATTTTTTATGACACATTTACTCGGGTGTTTGTGTGTGTGTGAAGGTCAGAGGACAATTTGAGTTGGTTCTCTCTTCCCATCATGTAAATCCTGGGGTTGAACTCAGCTTGCCAGACTTGGGGCCAAGCACCTCTACTCACTGGACCATCCTGGGGACCCCCATCCCTTTCTATTAATTTTAAAAGAGAAGACAGCACACCAAAGCGATGAGTTTCATGACCACTCCCCCCCCCTTCTCCACCCCTCCGCAGCCCGGTACGCTGCGGTCCTGTAGGCTCAGATGAAGCACGGTGGGAGTCTCAGGCAGTTTGCGGCTTGGGCATCTGCAGTTTCATTGTTGTCTGACCTCAGGGGCCAGGCACTGTGACACAAGCCGCAGCGCCAGCGTCACCGACCTGAGCTGGCAGGCGCGACCCACGGGTCCGGCAACAGCCTGCAAGCCGCGCAGCGGAACACACACGCTGCGGGGGAGATCCGCAGCCGCGGCGGCTCCGAAACACCCCTCATCACACCAAGACCTCCTAGCCTCGCCGCAGGCTCCGCCCCCTCTCAGCCCCGCCCCACCGGAGGGGGGGGGGGACGGACACCCACCGCCTTCCGTCCGCCCCGCCTCCTGCCTCGGACCGGAAGTTCGGGCTTCCCAGAGTGCCCCGCGCGCGGCGGGCATGATAACAAACCCCCGGGGCTCCCACGCGGGTGGCTCGGCCGTGTGTAGGCATCGTGGTGTGTGAGACGGCGGCTGTCTGCGAGCCGGCCGGGGCTAGCGCATCGTCAACCCGAGCGATGGCGCTGTTCCGGGCCGTGTGGGGCGTGCTAAGGGCGCTCGGGCGCTCGGGGGCCGAGATGTGCGCGGGCTGCGGGGGTCGCGTGCCCTCGCCGCTCAGGTAGGCCGCGGGCGAGGGGCGCCGCGCGTCCATCATTCACCTGCCCTGGTGCCACCCGAGTCTCCGGGCCACCAGGGACCTCGCGCCTTTGGGACCCGACCCCTGACTTCCTGTCACCTTCTACTTTTCGGTGCCCAGGGCTCCCGCCTTCCTTCTCGTGCCCTGGAGGCGGGGCCGGGAGCTGGGGCGCGGAACGCTCGCCCCTTCTCTGCCCCGATCGCCAGGACTTGTGCTTCAAGTCCTGCAACCTCCTCTTCTGTTTCGCTAGGTCACCCAGGGTTAGAGGACTTGTGCTTCAGCCCTGCAGCCCCCTCTTCCGTTTGGCTAGGTCACCCAGGGTGCCGCGTCTGCAGCCTTCAGACCAGCAGCCTCTGATTTGGTTTAGGGCAGGGGTGTAAAGTCAGTCCTAAGGCTGAGGAGTAGCCGGTTGTGGAGGACCTTCTAGCATGCTTCTACAAATGAAGCCCTTGAATTTATTCTTAGCACAGCAGAGGGAAGGGAAATCACTCAAAGGTTGTTAGCATTTTTGGTGCAGGTGTTAAGATATTTGGCACCTTGGCTGACCTTGGCTTTGGTGTCTGAGGCCTGTGTATAGGAATGGTAAATATCTGACATTCACTTCTTTTTATCCGTGTGTAGCTTTGTCTGTATTCCGAAATGGTTTTCATCTAACTTGAGTAATTATCCAAAGAAACCTATGAGTTCATACCTTCGGTTTTCTACAGAACAGCTACCCAGATTTAAAGCTAAACACCCAGGTAAGAGATGTGGGGCTTGTGCTCTTCTCTAATGTGATTTGTTTTCATCAAACTTGATTTGCACTACCAGAGAGCATCTAGCAAAAGTCATTTTCTTTGATGGCCTGTATAACATTTTATAATTAATAGAAATTCTTTTTTTTTGAAATTCTTAAATATAAATGAGAACAGTATTTTTAAAGTCACCTGTAGATTGGAGAGCACACTAGAGAAAAAAAAGATAAAGTTGAGGCCTAGTTGCCCTGGCTTGAGAAGAGCCACTGATGAATTATTTTTTGCTTTGCAGTTGCTTCTGTGATAGATCATTGTTTGTAAAGGAGCAATAAAGTAACTTACCGGGAAGTGTTCTGTAAAATAAATGGTCTAGCCGGGCGGTGGGGGTGCACGCATTTAATCCCTGCAGAGGCAGGTGGGGATCTCTCTTGAGTTCCAGGACAGCTGGGATTGTTACACAGAGAAACCTTGTCTTGAAAAAAACTTAAGATAAATAAACAAACAAACAAATAAATAAATAAAGGTTCATACAAATCACCGCTAACTTATTCATTGGAAATTTCCTGAGTTCTTAAAAAAAAAAAAAAAAAAGAAATTGGCAAGTAGGAAAGATTTCCAGGTAGCCCAAGAAAGGGTTGTAGGGCCTTCGTTTGAGTATATGCTATAAAGATAATAGCTGAATTAATAAGTTGGTCATTGCTTATGATTTCCAAGCCCTTATAGTGCCTCAGAGGGCACATGTGAAAATCATACAAGCTATAATTAAAGTACTCCTGTTGCAGGTAAGGGACAGACAGTAAACTTTTCAGAGATCTGCTTATACCCATAACCCTGTCTTCTAAAATGTAAGACTTGGCACTAACACATGGTTAATAGAGGAGTTGTATCCTCAGTTAGGAAACGGAGAAAAATGGATTAATTTTACAATAGCTTTATATCTGAATGCTATTTCTGTAATGGAAATGCAACATGGTTTTGTACCAAGACTAATTTGTAGTTTATTTGGGTTTTACTAACAATAATTCCTGAAAGACATGACAGAGTTTCAGTTGAAATAGAGACATAAGAAACTTGAAGCAGTCGATTACCTGGGTGCTTTCATGAGCAATGGGTTTCCAGGGACTGTTTTTGGTAGTCTGTAACATACTCACTAAAGCTAAATAACAAATAGTTCTCTAGCATTTCTGGATAAAATTGTATCCATAGGGTGTAGAGATGTATGTGGTAATTAGCTTGGTTTTAGAGCCACCAGGATGTTTTTCAAAAGCTTGTAGAAAGTTAACCCCTAAGAAATAAAATCGACACATCCATTTCCATTCTGTTCTGATTTATAGATGCAAAGCTTTCAGAACTGGTTAGAAAAATTGCAGCCGCTTGGAGGGAACTACCGGATGCAGAAAAAAAAGTAAGCATTTATGTTTTCAGTTTTGCTGACCAGTTAGTTCTGTAGTTAGGGGTGCATCTTTTTCCAAAAACTAGGTAGTTCATACCTTTTCTTTTGGATGGGGTCTGTGCTCACAGCTTGCCAGCTGAACTAGACTGGCTGGCCGGCAAGCTCCAGGGATCCACCTGTCTGTGCCCCCACCCCGTCCCCAGCATGAGGGTTATAGACACTGGCTATGGCAAGCACTTTACCAACTGAGTTATCTTCTTAGTTTTCTCTCTTCTCCCTTAACAGTCATGCCCACAAAGGTGTTCGATACCTTTTGTTCCATAAATGATGTGGATATAGATGGGTGTAGTACAGGTAAATGGTTGACAACGGTCAGGAAGGATGGTCAGTTGCTGTCCTTACACCTCGATTAGTGAGCGTGTGAAAAATACATCTCAGAGCATATTTTCACCTGGTGGCCCCTGGCAAATGTGATGTGTTGAGCTTGCTAGCACCGGTTCATTGATTTTTATTTGGATTTTTAATGTGCAGGTGTATGAAGCTGATTTTAAGGCAGAATGGAAAGCATACAAAGAAGCTATGAGCAAATTTAAAGACCAGCTAACTCCAAGTCAGTTGGTATCTTTTGAGAAAGAAGTCAGGCAAAAACGTATGAAAAAGCAAGCATTAGTAAAAAAGAAAGTAAGTATCATTGAAATACTGTTTTCCTGTGGAAAAGATCAAAATAACCAAGAGTCTGGGTAGTTTTCCCTTGTGTTGGTGACAGTAGATGTGACATAGCAGAATACTCCTGGGCACTCCAGGTAGACAAAAGCAGGGTGGTCATATCTCACACGGTATGTCTGGGAAGTCTTGGTTGCACTGTCAGTAGGACTGGCCTGAAGCTTGAATCAAGCAAATGAGGAGAAGCTGGAATCTTTACTCCAAGTCTTCCTTCTAGAGTAACTTTCACATTTGAATTGTCTGTAGAGGATCATGAATTTGAAGGTTGCTGAACATACTAAATTCCTTCATTAGCACATCAGAGGAAAATGCCAGTTATTTGAGTAAGGAGTTGCTTGGGGTAGGATTCTGTTTCCTTTCAAACAAATAACTATTAAAACATCTATCTACATGGTTACGTTTTTCTAACTTGTGTTAATTCACATAAAGGATACTGTTTGAAAGTCAGGCTACATTTTTCTTTATTTAGGGAATGCTCTTATGGTTTCTGTAATAAAACCCATGTAGATAAGACCTTAGACAATTAATACCCTTGGTCTCCTAGGCTCCCTCCCCCCACCCCATTTTATTATTAAATTTTCTTTGTGTATGTGTATCCAACAGGGGGAGGGGTACTTGCTTAGAGGTCAGAGGACAACTTTGTGGAGCTGATTCTGTTCTTTCACCTTTACTGGGGTTGTGCAATACACACTTTTATCTGCTGTGCCATCTCACCCACCCCAGGACTTTATAAATTCAGATACTGCTACTCCAAATACAGACAATAAATAGGAGAGTGCAGTAGCTATTACAATGAATATGGGACCAAGTGCAAGAGATGCTGTGTGCTGATTCCATAGTTTCCCCTCTTGGCACCCGTTAAGAACTGACTACATCTTTTTAATTTTAAATATTCCAAGCCATTAAGAGAAGGAGTGAGATAAGGTTACTAAATAGTCCTGTGTTTATGAGGTTCAGTGGAGGCATGTATTGATTGGGCCAATATGATTATGTGTCCTGCAAGGAGGAAACTGGGATTAAAAAAAATGTTTTAAGAAAATTTTATATGTAAATGTTATGATTCAGTTCCTGGAAGCTATAAAAATAACATGTAAAGGAAATACCCTTTTGGATGGAGAAATGCCTTTTGTATTGCAGGTTTTTTTTTTTTTTTTTGGTTTTTCGAGACAGGGTTTCTCTGTGTAGCTTTGCGCCTTTCCTGGGACTCACTTGGTAGTCCAGGCTGGCCTCGAACTCACAGAGATCCGCCTGGCTCTGCCTCCCGAGTGCTGGGATTAAAAGCGTGCGCCACCACCGCCCGGCGTATTACAGTTTTTAAGACTTTTATGCTTGGAAAAGTTTTTGACTTCCAAGATGTAACAAACATGCTTTATATACAAACCACTCTATTTGGTGGTGTGGTGGTGCAGGCTGTCATTCATGTCAGCACTTGGGAAGCAGAGGAAAGAGGATGGCCACAGGGTGGCAGCCAGCAAGTCTCAAGAAAACAAAGTTGTGATGTTTACTTGGATTCTGCTATGCATTGTAGCAAATGGTTTCTTTAGCTATTAGGCTTCCTGGTGACTGTATCTGACACTTTTATTTTTGTTATCCAGGAATTAATGTTGCTTGGAAAACCAAAAAGACCTCGATCAGCATACAACATTTACGTATCTGAAAGCTTTCAAGAGGCTACAGATCAAACTGCTCAGGTAAGCGGAGCGGCAGGTTGTTCGTAGGTTTGTATTTATTTTAGTTTAAAATCATGTAGGAAGTTGTATGTCTGGCATGTCACATGATGAAGGAAAGTAGAAAATGTGGACATTTATTGTGTCTCTTTAAACAAAAAAGTCCTTGGAGCTGAGTGTATAGTTCACTGCAGAACCAGCTGGGACTATATGATGCCTTGGGTTTGATTCCCAGCATTGGAAAGGACAAAAGTTCTTGTTCTTAGCACATGCAGTTGGCTGTGTGCTGACCATAGGTTGCCATACATACTTTATGCATACACACTGGAACAACTTTCAAAATATTTCTAATTAAGTCGTCTTTCTGTTTTTATGGTTCACACAGACACATACACACAACTGTATGTAATACAAACTCTTTGCATTTAAGAGACATAACCTGCCTGGTAATGGTCGTGCATGCCTTTAATCCCCAGCACTTGGGAGGTAGAGGCAAGTGGATGTGAGTTTGAGGCCAGCCTGGTCTACCGATCAGTTCCAGGACAACCAAGGCTACACAGAGAGACTCTATCTTGAGAGAGAGAGAGAGAGAGAGAGAGAGAGAGAGAGAGAGAGAGAGAGAGACACACTAAGCTGGGTTGTGGCGCACACCTTTAATCCCAGCACTCAGGAGGCAGAGGCAGGTGAATCTCTTGAGTTCGAGGCCAGCCTGGTCTACAGAGTGAGTTCTAGGACAAGAAGTTCTGAGGGGGCCAGCATTTTTATATTTGGAGATGTTAAGATTCTTCTAGAAACTTCATACTCCAACAGCTCTTAAGTGTCAGCATCCCTGGAAAGGATGAGATTGAGGCTGTTGATTTTGTTTTGGGGTTGAGGTTGTCTCTTCATGCCTTGTCCTTTAACAAGATTGGTTATACCTGTGCCGTGAGTATGTGCTGTCCATGTGGACATGGGCACAAGAATGTGCTGGACACAAAGCCCATCTGTTGTCTCCCGTCAAGAGCAACAATGGCAGCTGTTGTCCTTGTATAAAGTGCTGTGGTAAAGAAGTGTGGATGTCCAGATCACTCACTGGGCAGTTTGAAGCTTGTGGTTTATTCAGGTTGGCAGCTGCCATCTCTCTGGTGCACACAGCACACCAAGCTCCTCCTGCATTGGCGCCTTGTGCCCTTGCTTGTGTTCCTTGGTTTACTCCCATTCTAGCTTTTCCTTAATTAAGGATGTGTAGGAAATTAGTGTTTCAGATTTTACATGTCTAAAAACTGCCTTTTTCTGTGTTTTTTAGATTGGCCATAGAGTTACGGATTGGAAATAATGTTTTTTCAGCATTTCAAAATTACCACTGCTTTTCTAGCCACTGATTTTTGAGAAATACAACTATCAGTTGGGTAGTTAAGGCAGGAAGATCAGGAGTATGAGGGCGGCCAGGCTGTCCCCAAAACCACAGATTTAAAAAAAAAAAAATCTGAGCCAGGTGGTGGTGGCGCACACCTTTAATCCCAGCACTCGGGAGGCAGAGACAGGTGGATCTCTGTGAGTTGGAGGCCAGCCTGGTCTGCAGAGTGAGTTCTAGGACAGGCACCAAAACTATACAGAGAAACCCTGTCTCGAAAAGCAAAAAAAAAAAAAAAGACCAAGTAAATCTGGGCTTGTGGGATGGCTCAGCTGGTAACGGCACCTGCCCTAGTTTGATTCCCCAGAGCGGCATGGTGGGAGGAGAGAACTGGCCCCTGGAAGTTGCCCTCTGATCTTCACTGTGCGCACGCGCACGTGCACATAGGAGTGATTGTAATTTTAGAAATTTTTAGATGAAACCCGCTTGAGTTCAGGTTCTTCTGATTTGGTTTCTTTGCTTGTTGCTTTCTGTTTAGACTATGTAGCTTGCATTTATGTATAGACCTTCTGAGTCTGTCTTCTCGCTTTCTTGTTTTTGAACTTCCTTCACCGTCCCAGATACTGTATATTTTCACGTATTTCCCTTGCCTTGTCCTCAAGTGGGCCTATTCTTCACTGTGACTGTTTTTCTCTCTTGAGAATATGAAAGTCCTGGAATCTGCCATGGTGGGCATTTAAGCTGCTTTTCCCATTCCCCTCTGTGACACCCACCTGGTGCTGCCATGGGGACAGCTCTCAGGTTCTCCTTACTGCCTGTGGGCACTCCAGCCAATGTCAGTCAGTCCACTTAGTACTCCAGCCTGCCACTGTCCACAGTTTATGTTGGTGCTGCCCTCTTCTGCTGGTTTTTGTCCACATGCATTTATACCTTACACTTTATTTAATGGAATTTGGAGGAATGTGCAAAAGTAAACCATGTTCTGTCCCTGGATTACAAAGCCTAAGGGATGTAAAGTGGCCTCTTGCCTGTGGTACCTCTCAGGTCAGCTGATCAGCTGAGTAGAATTAAGGACTGCTTGCTCCATTCCTATGATAATACCTAAACATCTTGGCACAAAGTTTAGAATAAGACACTACAGGGAAGTAAAACCACCTGTGAAGTTAGTTTATGACAGACTGGAGATTATACCTGAATACAAGCGGTTTTTAATCAAGAGATAACTCATTTCATTTCATACTCATGTAAATGTAACTGTTCAATGGGAATGTAACAGTCCAGTGGAAGTAAGTGTTGTTGGCGTTGCATGGTGTTGCTTATGAATGACAGCCGAGTTCTGTGTTGAAATAAATGGGGAGTGCTCTCCTTTGCTGTCTTCTTAGGTGTGTACACCTTAACTATCCATTGTCTTACAGGGAAAACTGAAGACTATAAATGAGGCTTGGAAAAAGCTATCTAGTGATGAAAAGCAGGTAAGTAGTACAGTTCCTGGCTTTCTTGTCCGTCTAGAGTGCCTGAGTAGTCAGGGTGGGGTTGGCTCCCGTGGCATTGCGCAGCAGCACCAGTGTGATGGCAGTACTCGGGGACTGCCTTCGTTGAGGCCAACTTGGCTTTTCTCTCAGGAAATAAACTGGCATTTCAAACATGTCTTGTCCCACCTGCCCTCTTCTCTCCCCTAAGTCCTTAAACTAACAACCCACCAACCCTTGGAGAACACTTTCTAAACACTTTCTCTTAATTTTTTTCCCCTAACATTTTATTTAAAATTATTTCTGTATTCTCCTTTGGTGCATGGAAAATAGTGATATAATTTCTGTGTAGATGGAAGCACTCCAGGGATTAATTCCTCTTTTCTAAATAAAATATTTTAACACTTTCTCAGGCATACATTCAGCTTGCTAAAGATGATAGAATCCGTTATGATAATGAAATGAAGTCTTGGGAAGAGCAAATGGCAGAAGTTGGACGAAGTGATCTCATTCGACGCAATGTGAAACGAGCAGGAGACATCACTGAGAATTAAGACCGAGATGGAGTTGTCTTCGTGATTAGGCACAAGAAACCAACGAGGTCTCAGTGCCTTAATAGTCAAATAAGAAAGGCTAAGGCTGGTTGACACCGGATAGTCAGCTCCTTTTTCTGTAGCCCATGGACCTCTGCCTGTTGAATACATTTCTGTTGTTATATCAAGCCCTGACTGTGGAAGATCCTGCAGAGTTGTGCTTTTTGCTTAAGAACTAGAGATGAGACTGTCCATGCATCTGCATGTAGTGGTGAATCATTCTGTGTGTGATGGAGGTCGATAGACTGTGAAGTGACTTTTACACTCGTAGCAGATACATGTAGTTCTGTGAAGTTTTTACACTGATGACGGTTACGTGCAAGTGTGTCCCCCTATGTTCCAGGGTCAGAGCTGCTTTCACAGCTATGGCAAAGCTATGACGTAACTGCTTATTCAAAGGAGCTTCTAGACTCATTAGATGAAGTGATTTCTAGGCATAAATCATGTGTAGAGTTGATGTTTGTACATATAAGTGATTGTTGACATCATAACAGTTTTTTATAATAGGAACAAAGATTTACAGACAAACTTTTCTCATCTTTTTCTTTTTCCTAAAGTAAAAACTAAGAAATTATGTACTAAGTCTATGCATATTGTTTTTATTGCATAGAATAAAAATTTTAATTTTCCAAACATGGTTCCGAATTATGTATTTGAAGATGAACTATTTGGTTAACAGTTTTTTTTTTAAAGGTAAGGATTTTTTTCCCTGAATTTTTCATGTGAGAATGTTCACAGAGCTTGTGTGGTATAAATTTTTAAATGAGAAGTGTGAAAAAACAAGTCTCCAAAGTCAGAGATCTGAAACATCGTCCATGACTGTTCACAGCCTGTGCAGGCTCTCCAGCTGGTGAGCCGGCCAGGTCCAGACACTGACTGACTGCTTTTCAGGGCCTGTTCATTAAGAAATGTAGTTACATTTTAAATAGGTTTTTAAAAAGAAAACTGTGAAAGTGAATATGATCTTTAGTGTTCATGAATAGAATTTTATTGGAACACAGCCATATGCTTTCTCGGATTTGTTGTGTATCGGTGCTCTGCTACAGGGACTAGGCTGGGAAGCCACAGCATACACATGTGGCCCTTTGCAGAGAGTTTGCCACCATGGTTTGTGGCATGGTGCAATGTGGCTACTGGGCATGCAGGGCTCTTTTTCTCAGTTGCCCTGGATATTCTCATCCTATCTTAGGGTCATCACTGGGTCACTGTGATCTGACTGTTCTTAGTGCTAGCAAGGAAAACACTCTTTAGTCTCCAATAGTGGTTAGTATAGCACAAAAGGCCACGTTGTATGGGAGCGAAGCCCTCCTTAATCTTTACTGTCACCCTTTGAGCTGGCACATCCCACAAGCCGTCACTCTTCAACATCTGTTCTCTTTTAGAGAACAAGTAGTTTCAAACCCACATCACTGAGCAGGTCTCAGAGACACGGGGTAATAGTTTGTACTCATGGGTTTTGTGTATGGAGGATGCTCAGAGATTGTGGACTTAGAGCGCCAGAAGACTCAGGTGTTTGTGTTTTGCTTTGTTCATGGGAAAGTAAGGTTGAAATCGCTGAACTTGAGGAGGTAGGAACAGAGGAACTTTCAGAAGGGAGATGGGAGATTTACATATGTTTGAGCTGGGGGTGTACCTCTGGTAGAAAGCTTGCCTAGAATGTGCAAGGCCTGGGATTCCATTCCCAGCACTGCAACCCCCGATAGATAAATAATAATCAGAATTTTGAAGATGAATTAAAAAATAAAATAATTTTGCCCGGTGGATTGGAATTCAGGCCTGATTTTCCTTTGGTGAAGTAGATGGCGTGGGTTTGAAGCTAGAGTAGTTTGGAGATCCGAGAAGAGACCAGGGTAAGAGTCCTTCCCAAGTGCAATTCCAGGAGAGACTGTAGCCCTGCATTCCCAGTGTCTGGAAGGGAACTGATTTGTGCCGCCCTTAGAATGGAGACTAGAGTGACTTAGCACTGGCCTTATGCCTCAGAGCAGCTCAGGAGCAGCAGACACTAGAGTGATGCATGGTCATGGCACTGTTCCCCAGAGCTCTAACCATGTACCACTTAGCTTCAAATCCCACCTTCCCGGGTACAGGAAAGAGTGCTCAAAAACCTGCAGCTTAGTCAGGGAAGGGAATGGGAAACAGGCCTGTTCATGATACTCGGTTGAATTTGGTTTTCCTTGTTTTTAAAAGAAGCTTACTGTTAATAGCTTTCTATCCCCCCTTTTTTCCCCTTTAAAGACAGAGTCTCTACCTCTGGCTGTCCTGGAACTCTCTGTAGACCAGGCTGGCCTTGAACTCACAGAAATCAGCCTGCCTCTGTCTCCCAAGTGCTGAGATTAAAGACATGCTCCACCATATCTGTCTTCCATGCCATGCCTTTTTAAATTCAGTAAATATTGGACTGGCGTACCACATAGTTGTAAATATTGGACTGGCCTACCACATAGTTGTATACATTTTCTCTTGCCAAGGATGAGAACTCAGCATCAGTAATCAGTGGCTGCTCATAAAAGCCTGTTTTTAGACTTTTTTTTTTTTTTCCAGCAACAAAGCATTTTCGAAAGGAGCTGAAAAAGTATTGGGAGGTGCCGGGCGGCAGTAGCACACTCGGGAGGCAGGTGGATCTCTGAGTTTGAGGCCAGCCTGGTCTACAGAGTGAGATCCAGGGCGGGCTCCAAAGCTACACAGAGAAACCCTGTCTCAACCAAAAAAGTGCTGGGAGGAGCTGAAGAGATGAGGTAAAGCTGTGTGCAGCATTAGGTCCCCACGAAGGGACCTTGTGCTGTGGTGGAGTGGCAGTGTCAGGATGTCTGAGCATTGAGGCTTACAAGGACTTGGTGCTAATTGAATTTTCTGATGTTCACCTAACATTGCTAACAGCCTGCTCCTCTGGCTAACTCCCTTTTTGGCAATGCCCTTTGTGGTGGTGGTTGGAGTAGGTATGGCCCCCATAGCCTCATGTGTTTGAGTGCTCGGCCCATAGGGAGTGGCACTATTGGGGGGGGGGTGGCCTTGTTGGAGGAAGTGTGTTGCTGTGGAGGTGGGCTTTGAGGTCTCATATGCTCAAGTCATGCCCAGTGTGACGACAGTTCACTTGCTGTTGCCTGTGGGTCAAGATGTAGAACTCTCAGCTCCTCCAGCACCACGTCTACCTGCACGCTGCCATGCTGCTCACCATGACAATAATGAACTAAACCTCTGAGCTATAAGCCAGCCCCAGTGAAATGTTTTCCTTTATGAGAGTTGCAGAGGTCATGGTGTCTCTTCACGGCAGTAGAAACCCTGACTAAGACACCCTTAAAAACATCAAAAATCCCTAGTTGGTACAAGTGTGTATTCTGAATTGGAAAGCTGGTATTTGTATATTTTAAACGGATTTGGGTAGTGAGAAAGTCTTCCTGGGTTTCCTCATATTCGTTGTACCACCAGGGGGTGCTGAAAGAGCAGCTTGAGTGTAGAAGTGATAGTGCCCATCAATTCTGTGTAGCCATCTTTATTGTAAGAATTGTCTCTTCTTCCCCGACAGCAGCCCTCCCTCCTCCTCCTCCTCCTCCTCCTGTTTACTGCACTTGACTCTAGCCTGTCACTGACATGCTTGAAAATGGTGTAACAATGTTTGTATGTTTTGAAGTATAAAAATACATATTTTTTATAATTAAACTTAAAATATAAAATGAATTTATTACTCTGAATTTGTAAACCTTCCCAAGCAAAAAGTAAAATTATGTACAACTGGTACTATCAATTGTTTATCATTCACAGATCAAATACTTTTGGTAATTTAATCACTGGTTATATTTATTATAAAATTCATTAAACAGAAAACCATTCTTTTGTAAGGTTAGAAATGCTGACCAAGAAACTACGTATTTAAATTAAACGCTAAACAAGAATTTGAAATGTGTTTGAAGAAAACACCCTGTCATTTACATCAGTCTCATTAGCAACTAATTTATGATGGTTTCTGATACAAATGTGATGTCCAAGAAGACAAAAATGGTCAAAGGAGATGTTTTTGCAGGTTCCTTCTGGGTATAAAATGGTAGAAGTTGGGGAGTCCCCAGCATCGTCTGCTCCAGAGCATTCCTAATCTTAAACCTTAAGCACTGGTGCTGCCGCTACAGCATCCTGTACTTTCCCTTGTGACAGGTCACAGGAGAGTGGGAAAGGCTGCAAATGTGTGAGATGACCTTTAGGTTGTCTGTGTGAGGTATAGATACAAAAGATGAGTTTCAGTTTTAGATTTGGAGTTTACCTCCAAGATCTCATTATATACACATACACATACACAAATTTTTTCTAGGTTTCCAAACTGTGTATGTATATATATATATATATATATATATATATATGTGTGTGTGTGTGTGTGTGTGTGTGTATATACATACATATACATATATATACGTGTATATATATACATATATATATATATTTCCAAAAATCTGAATCTGAAGTTTGTCTAAAGCACACTCAGGTAAGGCATCTGTCTTGCATCCGTGAAGCCCTGGGCTCAGTCCCCAGTTCTGCCAAAGGGTGGCAGGGAGTGTAAACCGTTAAATGGTTAAGAATCAGGTTAGGTGTGTTCAAATCCTGACCACCCCCATGGAGTTTGACTAGAATTCTTGTCCAATGTCTATAAAATAGGCAAGGATACTTCATCATGTTTTGTTGTTTGTAGGACAGAGTGCCTAACAACTGAGGGGAAGAAGGGTTTCTTTTGCCTTGTGCCCGGAGATTTCATGCCACCACTTCTTGAAACTTTTCATGGCAGGTCCGAGGTTAGGCAGGAACCTCTTGGTGGAAGGTTGTAGAGAAAGAGGCTATTCATGGTTGACAGTGGACAGGAAGTAGAGAAAAGGGATACAGGAAGCAGTTGGGGCAAGATCTAGTTCCCCAGGGAAACATCCCAATGATCACTTCCTGAAGCTAGCTGGCCCCACCTCCTGCACCACAAGCTAGGAGCCGAGCCTCCGACACGTGGCGCTCTCCTGGACATTTCAGGTGCAAACCAAAACACCTAGACGTAGCTAGTACACATCTAGAAATACCAGAGCAGGCCTTACTTTCCAGCTTCATATACCCTGTCTTGACCAGCTCTCAACTGTCACGACTGTCTTTGCACATATGCATGCATTTCCAAAAAAAAAAACATTGTTTCTCTTACAGTAACGCTACTTTGGAATTTTCTGTTTTTCTTAGCCCTGAAGTATTCCATAGGCTTTATAGCTTTAAGATGACTTAGAGTTTTTCTTTTTAACTAATTTTTTGTGTTTATTTTTATTTGTGCGCTTGTATGCAGATTTTTACCCAGATATGTAGGCACCCCATCAAGGAGGTCAGGAGAGGACTGGGCAGTCTGGAGCTGTAGTTTGAGGCGGTTGTGAACCACCCAATGTGGTGCGGGGAACCAAGCTGTGTAAGAGTGGTATGTGCTCTGAATACTCTGAACGGCTAAGCCAACTGTGCAGCCCAGCTCTGATTGCTGTTTCTCTAGTGGACTGTCTTTGGCATGTTAGCCGTGGAGGAAGGCAATAGGCAACTCCCATCTGTTTAAGAATTTACAAGTTTCATTGTGCCTGATTTCTGGGGTTTTATTTTGGCTTTTTTACATTTGCCTGACTTGCCTTATGCCCTTAACACATGATCTGTTTTGCGCTGTAACCCATGTGTTGGCCACACGACAGCCAACTTGCAGGAAGGTCTCCTCTCCCAAGTGCACTGCTCGCATGAGATCATGGGGTAATAACTTTCTTAAGAGTTTTGTGAGCCTCCTCCTCTCTCCAGGGAGGGATATTCAAATTCGGAGGAAGTAGCTATGACAGCAGACAGACAATTCTAGACCGAAGGCCAGGCTCATCACGGTCTCTAAAGATGCCTCTCGTCATACCCAGGGCTGTCAGTCATCATCTTCTACCTTGTTTGAAACAAGCCCCTTTGAGTCTTGCCTCCGACCTGACAGGCAAGCTGGCCTGCTCGAGCTGTCTGGAGGCTCTCCATTGTCTTTCTTGGCTCCCACCTTCCTGTAGGCGTGCTGGGATTCAAACCCTTCAGCATTACAATCTCTCTTGCTATGTGTCCGGATTCTACATGGGTTCTGTGGATTTGAACTCGAGGCCTTATACCTGTGTGGCAAGTGTTTTAGCCACTGAGCCATATCCCAATCCCTGTATAAGCCATGTTCATTAAAATGTAACTTCTGATACACAGGAAAAAGGGGGAAAGTGTGTGTGTGTGTGTGTGTGTGTGTGTGTGTGTGTGTGTGTGTGTGTGTTTTCCTTAGCCAAGCCTGCCCTATGTAGGGACCTCGGCAAACCTAGCCAATGAGAGTGGGAAAGGCTGCTGAGGCCTACAGACCCTCATCAGATGAACTCTGGCCCTCTATTCTCTGACCCTCTCTCTGCTTTGTATAGTGCTATACTCAAGTGCTAGCATAGTATCCAGTCTGTGCTGAAACTTGAGTTTTGTTGTTATTGTGCCTTACGTATTAGGACACAAAGATTCTGTCTTCCACCTTCATCTTTTCTCAGGATGCATCATGTTCCATGTGGCTGTATTATAACTTTTAAAGCAGGTCCCTAAATGATGGTTTCAAGGATTTAGTATTACAGAAACCTGCTTCAGGGAATAGACTTGGGTATCTCGTTCTTGTACTGCTATGATTCAGACAAATTCCTTAAAGCAGAACGCTAGAGACACTTGCACCTATGACTTTGATCTATGGTACTGTAGGAGCAGACACAGGTAGTTCCAATTACAGACCCGCTAGCGATGTGTGCCCAGATAATTTTTAATTAAATGCATGTTGTGGTGTTGTACAAACCACCACGGTTTGTTCCCAGTGTGTCCTCTCGGTGGATGATGTAATTGTTTATGCCACCTTGACTTGTTTCTCAGAGCCCTGCTCTTGTCCTGTGACTGCACTGCTCACCGCAGGGCTCTGGCAGTTGTTCTCATTATCACAACAGCAGCAAGACAACCTCTTTTCCTAAGTGTTTGTCCCTCTCTGGCCTCACTTCTGTGGCTGGGCCAGCACCTGGAGCCCTTGGGAATTCCCTCTGGGAACCCAGCAGGATGACATCCCTGAAGTCAGATTCCAAAGCCTTGAAGGAGATCAGCAGATCAACCTCCTGAGACCTGGTTACACAGGCCTTGCCCCCACACATAGCTCCAGGCTTTCTGTCACCCCTTCCCCCACACTCCCACCCCATCCCCACAGCCTTTCATCCTCACTGCCTCGAGGGGAGCCCATCTCTTCCCCAGGAGGAAAGCAAACAGCAGATGGACAGAGCTTAATGTGTGTCCCCACACCATGCAGGGGACCTCTGATCTCTGCCTGGCCTTGTTTGCAAATGCCTTTCTCCTAACAGCAGAGCACTTCGGAGACCAGGATGGGGACAGCCCAGGCGCACCTGGAAGCTAAAGACTTTGCTGTCTAAGCACAAAGTAAGAAATGTTTTCCGTTGACATTTCCAGCTTGCAGTGGTTTGAAACTCTGTGTCGGAGAGTTGGCAAATATTTAGAGCTTCTCAGAGGCGGTGGGTCTTGGGGGTAGAGACAGTTCTCACAAAAGGCACTGCAACCACAGGCATGGTGGTTTTGAAGAGCTATTGGAAGCTGGCTAGTCAGAGTCCTGCTGGTGTTTAATTCCTTCCATAGAGACACAAAGCAAGGTGTGCGCTGAAGGATCCGGAAGAGTCCTGATTGATCAATGTGCTTCTGACCCCTGCCCCAGTGTGGACAACTCAGACCAAGTCGTTCCAAGTGCGACCTGTTCTAAGCCACCCTCCCTTATGCAAAGATCTGAAACCATTTTCCAGTTTAACACAATGATTATGAGGAAAAGAGAAAGTGACGGCCAGCCAACCTGGGAGGGTCGGTTCCAGGTCTTGCCCGCCCATGTGACCATTCTGAAAGACAGAGCCACCTCCCAGTGGATCCAATACTGGGGACCTAAACGGGAAGGCAGGCAGGACACACTGCACGTGTGCATGAGAGGGATGTCCTCTGATCTTGCTCTTACTATTCAGCCCATAATTCTGATTGGTATTTCAGGTCTATGGATTTAAAATCACAAACACAACGACTTTAGCTTATTGGTTGCACCGAGTGAGTGACACTTTATTCCAAGACTCTTACTTACTGATAGTCACGTGACTCCTACTGGCTGAGTCCTGCAAATCACAGACCTTCTTACCCTCTAATCTCCGTTCACAGCGAGGACAGGGGTGGGTGGTGGGGCTCCAGGCCCTGTAAAGATAAGCTACAAAGAAAAGCAAACTAACAACCAGTCAGACACTTCCTGGTAGGGCTTCCTGGGAAATTCGCACAAACCATGACAATCAGCTTTCTGATCTGTTAATGAACCCCGCTGATTACGGTAGGTAAATAAATACCCTACACCGGGAGGCCCGAGCCAATAACACGGGGGAAAATGTGACCCAAATGCCAACTGACCAAATCAGTTTGTGGTAATTGTGTTGATGAGCCTGGTGGCCTTTTTCCTGCAGTCTAGAAGTTCTTGTTGCTTAGTACCAGCTATTCACAACTACTTATCCTAGAAACTAAGACGCCATGTGGTCCGGTGGAGACGCAGTTTGTTCCACAAACACTAGAGGGCGACAGAAGGCAGTGTTTGACAGGTTCCAACGGCCACCGGCTCAGACTGACCCGCTCAAGTCCTGTGGGGCTGTGCTCTCCTCTCTTCCAGCTTGGCTACTTCTGTTCTCAAGCCGGGAGATA